TTCAAAGAACCTTCTTTGAGGGTAACAACAAACGTCAAAGGGCCACAAGCAGTACACTCTTTACAGCAGCAGTACATTTTAACTTTTGAGTTCAGTAAGGGAGACCTAACAAACTACTATGTAACTCTGCAAGAATTTGGAAAACAAATCCCATTGGTGCTAAATTTAGAAGCTCTGATGTGGATATCCTTCGAAAGCATAAAGCGTGTTCCTAATTCCATCTGAAATATCATATCAGAAAATTTACATGAATTAGAAATTTGATTAGTAGTTCAAACAAACCCATCAAAACTAAATGTCGAGCTAAAATAAACTCGAACACATCATCATTACAGAGCTGAATACCCTATTGTTGCCACCCCAAAATACGACAGATCCGGGTTAAAAAGGGCAGTTGGATCATGTATGTGTGATTACACCACTCACAAGGGGTGTTATGGTTATTAGTAAGTCTAGCTAACCGAAAGAAATTCTGGCAAGTAGCCATTACTTCTTGCCACTGAACCCAAAGAAACCAGTCACCAGAACTATGCCAAATATCTCTATGGTAATCCGTCTGCCATCATTAAGGCAACAACAGAAATGATTTCTAAAACTATAATAGGTGACTGAAAATGTATTCGGGAAAAAGAAAAGAAATCAGCCCAAGTATGCTAGATGAGGAAAGAAAGTACCATGTGTTCTTATTTAAAAATACAAAAGGTTAGCAGTTACGTTCAATTTACAGAAACGTAATATTATTCCACAGTATTGCATTGCATGGATTTTGACTTCCGGTTTCAAAACTCTGTTTCGGGTACAGAAGCAAAGAAGAGATCACAAGATTTTATGTTTGGAAGGATATTAGAAGATACAAGTTATCTTTATAAACCTTCACATCTAGAAGATCTATGTTATATGTATAAATTCCACATGTTTCTCCCCAAACCATGTTGACTAGACACACTAAGGATCTAGGTCGTAAGGTACAGAACAAATTCATCTACTTATTGTTCCTGTTAGTTTCTTCTCATCACCAGAGAATTAAACAACCAATTTGAATAGTTTTTTCTTCTTCAGCCTCCACAATTTAAGTCAGAGCACACCACCAATCCTAATACACAAAATATGCAGTAGAAGTGCAAAGTAATAAATCAGAGATAAAAAGTCACGTCAAAGTTCAACGTGGAGCAATATGCAATAGGAAGTGGAGTACAGGATCACACCTCAGTTTGTCATCAACAAAGTCCATCTTGGTTCCTATGACTCCTTTATCATCCCCAACTCATCAAACCTGCCTTTCTCACATGTGGGTGAAATATAATGAATTTAGTGATTATCAAGAAGTGAGTGGGCAAAGACAGAAAACTTAGGACAGTGGTATGAGTAAAGATAATTAAAGCATAGAGATGTATAAAATGGCCTAAGCAAATAATATGCTGTCCAAAATCATTATCTTAAGACTGATAATATCCCTCCACAATTTTCCATCAGAGCAGTCTACCCTTTAAAACCCTTTCATTGTGTTTCATTATCATAAGAAGTTCTACATTTACTTTCCATCATTCAGCAACAACAGGAAGTTAAGGACAGTAATGCAAATGAAGAGCAACATAGTCTTAATTTAAGTAAATTTTTTGTCTTGGTAATCGGCCCCATGATGCACCATGCGATACGGTGAAGTCGATCTATGAGACAAAAACCTAATGCAGATCCCTCCAACAATTTCTCATCAGATTTACATTTATATATGTTATCTTGTAAATTATACTCATTTACATATACAACTGAACCTAACGATATATCGTGCCCTAGAGTTATCCTCCCCCAAGACAAAAGTAGCATACATAATGTCGATTAACATAACATTTGTACTAGGAAATGCAGAAATCATTCATCCAAATAATCTTCAAGATTTTTTTCAAAAGTTTGCATTGGATCGTCAAAGAACTAACTACAGAACCAAGAAGGACGAAATTCTCAAAGCTACACATCAAATTAAAAAAAAAGGCAAAAATAAGCAAGCTAACCCAGAAAACGCCACAAAACAAAAATCAAATCACCTGCCTCATGCTAATACCAGCAATGTCATCACTGATCTTGGCCAGCACATCCTTGGATTCCTTGAGCAATGCAACAGTATTATTCAGCCTCTTGCGTTCCTCAGCCACCACCGGCAACTCCTCCAGCATCCACTCCGGCCACTTCCCTTCCAGTTCCTCGTTCACCACCTTGATGATCTGCACCTCCATTTCCTTGTTCACCAAATTCTGTATGCAAAACAACAAATGCACAGCGATGCGATCAACAAGTCTTCGGTGCAAAATCTTCCAGTAGGCAATCAATCGCATATTGAGATCGAATGCATCGTGCACGACCCCCGTCCTGCCCCTCAGGTGCGAGACATCAACCGTCCCATACCCATCAATGTCCATATTCACTGGCTTTGATTCATGTTTCAGAATCTCCACAAACACCTTCTGGTGGACCATGAGGTTTCTCCACGAAGCCTCATACTCGGGGTTGCCCGTGTAGTTCGCCATTTTCTCCATCTCGACCACATCACGAACCCAAACCTCAGACTGCTTCCTCTTCATGGCCACCAGGTCCTGGACAGCCAAGCTCATGGAGGAAAACAGCTCTGGGTATTTATCCGAGTATTTCTTGAGGACCGAGATGACCGTCTTCTCTATGTAGGTCCACATAGTGTCGTCCAACTTGAAAGCCGTGGAAGATAATCTTGCTACCTTTTTCTCAAGCAGAATGAGAAAAGCGGCCCTCGGTATAAAACCTGGAAGACCGGGTCCTCGTATCACCTCCAAAATCCGAATCTCATCGAGCAGAAACGCATTCTTTGATTCATTCTGGAAGCCTGTCAGGTGGACTTCATCAGAGAAGTCATTAAGCATCTCAACCAGCCGGGCCCTGCCATGCATATCAGTCTCGTGTATAAACTCGTCAATTTCACCCCTCAGCAATATCTTTTTAAGGGATTCTTTGGCCTTGCCTAGAATCTGGAAGAACACCGTTGAGGCCTCAACAACCG